AGTGGTGGCTTTGTGGTCACATATTGTTTTAGTTTCTGCTTATCATGGAAGACTTTTATTGCTCCATCTATTTTGAATGATAGTTTTGCTGGGTAGAGTATCCTAGGGTTGAAGTTATTTTCATTCAGTGCCTGGAAGATCTCACCCCAAGCTCTTCTTGCTTTTTATGTTTCTGTTGAGAAGTCTGCTGTGAGTTTGATGGGTCTACCTTTGTATGTTACTTGTTTTTTCTCTCTTACAGCCTTCAAAATTCCTTCCTGGGTCTCTGTACTTGCTGTTTTAATGATAATATGCCGTAGGGTAGTTCTATTTTGGTCTTGTCTGTTTCCTGTTCTGGAGGCCTCTTGCAAGTGTTTGGGAATAGATATCTCTGGATTTGGGAAATTTTCTGTTATTATTTTGTTGAATATATACATTCAACATAGCATTCCCTTTGCTTGCACCTCTTCTCCTTCTTTAATGCCCATGATTCTCAGGTTTGGTCTTTTGATGGAGTCAGTGAGTCCTTGTATTTTCTTTTCACAGATCTTGAGTTGTTTAAATAAAAGTTCTTCGGTTTTTCCTTTAATTTCCACTTCATCTTCAAGTTCTGAGATTCTGTCTTCTGTTTGTTCTGTTCTGCTGGATTGGCCTTCCATTTTGTTTTGCAGTTCTGTTTCGTTCTTTTTTCTGAGGTTTTCCATATCCTGAGTCCCTTCCTCTTTAATGTTGTCTATTTTTGTCTTGAGTTCATTTATCTCTTTATTAATTGTGTTCTTTGGTTCACTTTGACTTTGGTGTTTATACAGTGCTTCTATGGTTTCTTTTATTTCTTCTTGTGCTTTCTCAAATACTCTATTTTTGTTGTCTTGGAATTTCTTGAGTGTCTCCTGTACATTTTGGTTGACCATATCCAGTATCATCTCTATAAAATTCTCATTGATTACTTGCAGGATTTCTTCTTTCTGGTTATTCTGTCTTCCTGTCATTGCCCTTGGTATTGTTATTGTCCCTGTACTGTGTGCAATATAGTATTTTCTAGCTTGTAATAGTAACAGTGGTGATATTTAGAATGGAAGGGTGAGAGGAGAGGGAAAGCCAAGAAGGTAAAGAAAAAGGGAAAAACAAGTAAAAAAACAAACAAAAAAGTTTCAAAGATATAAACAGGGAGAGATAGTGTACTAATCAACAGCAAGCTAAACAGGCATTAGAGAGACAGGATTGAAAAATAAAATAAAAATAAAGTAATATAAAATAAATGTCCAAGTTCTAATGCAATAAAGTTTCAGTCTTAATAATTTTGGTGTTAGTCCCTCAGCCTCCAATCCTGGAGCTGGTGTCTCAGAAGTAGTTCTGTCATTGTCTCATCAAAAGGGAAAAAACCCAAAAAAAACAAAACACCACAAAGTGTCCCAAGTTCAAATGCAATACAGTTTCAGTAAGTTTTTCAGCATGTAGGTGTAGTTCAGTTGTTCATCAAAGGAAAAGAGAAAAAAAAAGTCTGGAGACAGTTCTGTGAATGGCTATCTGTGGCTGCAGCTCACCTGCCTGCTGCTGGAGGCTTTATTTATGCAGTTCTCGGGATTGAGCTTAACACTCAACTAGCCCTGCAGGCTTTGTTTACTTAGAGTTCTCCTGTGTGCGACTGCCATTGTTACCAGGTTTCCCCTTTCCAAGCACACTGGGGAAGGTGACACTGCACCAGCTTTCTCCAGCCAAAGTGTTTATTTACAGTTCACATGGGAAGTGGGTCTTCCCCCCTCTCCTGTGGAGTTTTCCTCCCACCGCCACTTTTAGAAGCTTTCCTGTTCCTGGTTGCTGGGTGGGTGCTGCTGCTCCTGTCTTCTCTGGCCAGCTTCTTTATTTACCGTTCCATGGGGGATTGCCCCTCCCCCCCTCTTTGGCACTCAGGACATCCCCCCCCCTCTTTGCTACGTGTCTTTTTTGTTGTTATTGCTTATTATTCAGCTTTTTTTTCTTTTTTTCCCTGTGGGGGATCGGTTTGTCCAGGGGGACATGCTGATCTGGCCCAGGGTTGTCTGTGGGAGTACCGCATGCCGCTTAGCTCACCTTGTGGTCTGCATCTTCCCAAGCAGTCTGGGCGCTGGCATCTGTCAGCGTAGGTGCCCTCCTGGTTCTCCATTTAACATGGAGTGGGACTGCTATGCACAAGCTGGGTTGTGGAGGAGTCAAAGTTTTGCCTCTTCTTGGTGGTTTTTCCTGTAGGTGTATCTCCAGCGTCTCTCCAAGATTTTACTTTGGAAGCACGCTTTCTGCTTCCTCCCTCTAGTCACCATTTTGGAATCTCCCCAGAACATACTTACTTACAGAATGTTCATAGCAAAGAATCTGAAACTGAAATTAAAATTATTTTTAAGGAAAACCTGAAGCCGTTGAGAGAAGGTTGTATAGTTCAGGTCCTGACTTGTGTGCCCTGTTGTACACAGTGTGTGCCATCGGCCATGGTGATTGTCCTAACCCACTAGGACTGGTGACAGTCATGATGGTGATACTGTGATGAATTCACTGAGAAGCAGCTGTTTGAATTTGTTTTACGTCCAAAACCTCGCACAGCAACTAACTTGGATGATAACACTGAGAATACTGAGCTAACTTGCATCCTTCTTGTTAGTTCCAGTCTGTGAAAACAGTTATGATTCAAGAATTGTGCAGCCATGTAACTACTTTTACTGGTCAGTTTTGTGTTCTTCAGTTTTAGCTACCTACAGTCAACTACAGGCCAAAAATACAAAATGGAAAATTCCAGAAATAATCCTACTTTTTAAATTATATGCTGTTCTGTTAGCATGATGAAATCTCATGTGAACCCACTCTGTCTCCTGCAAAACATAAGTAACCCCTTCTTTCAGTGTTTTCCACACTGTGTGCACTAGCCTCTTGTTAATCTTTAATCACTCAGTAGCTGTCTTGTTTTTCAGACTGTTATCCCATGCTTGTGTTCAAGTAACCTTTATTTTACTTAACAATGCCCTGAAGGGAAAAAGTAGTATGCTGACAGTTCAGATATGTCAAAGAGAGAACTGGTAAACTCCTAATTACAGTTCGGGTATCCTTTGGGGGTCTGGGACTGTAAGCCTGAAGATTAGGAGAGATTATTGTGTATTGTGTTGACAGCCTCGTTGACATGTTCATCTGTGACATCAAAGTTCTATAATCCTTTGAAGTAACTGTCAGGTTCTGTGTCTTCCCCATCCCTCTTCCCCACAACCCACTCATGGCCAAGATCTTCAAAATCTGTGGTCTGAGGCCCACTCTGAGATCACCTTCCTAGAGTTTCTTCTAGAACCTTCTCCTGGGACTCTTGGTCCTTACAGATTTGTTCTCGTTTGATCATTTTGGGACAAAGCAATGCATAAATTCAGACTGTTATAATTGTCCCTGTCGTTCCTTCACCTGAACACCTGTGGTGGGTGGGTGAGCCCCATTGCCTGTCAGTTTGCATTGTCCCAGACCCCATTCTTGAGTTGTTATTGGCAAAGATGGAGGCATGCCTCATTTGCAGGATTTGCTTACCTGTCTCAGACGAGGAAAGGACACAGCAGGGCCAGCTGCTGGCTCCCAGGCAGCAGCAAGTCCCTGGGTGTTGGGAAAGTAGAAGTGGGCTCAGGAATTCAGCTGAGATCTATAGGAGCCTGAGGTCCTGCCATAGCGGGCATGGACTTGCTGCTGCACAGCAAACCAGAGAGCAGGCTGTCCCTTTCTTGTGCAGCAGGCTTCTGGGAGGCAGTGTACTCTTTGAGCTGAGGGAATGACTGGCCAAGTTGGGGACCAAGGTCAGCCTAAGAACACCCATGAACAGGAGCAAAAGGGGTCTGAGGGCAGGACATGCTTTAATCTTGTGGACTGAAATCGAAGGCAGGGGTCGTGGAAAGCAGGTGCATTTTATTCTAAGGCCACTGGGGGAGGCCAGGGTCCCTCCACCTTCCTCTCAGTCACAGGTTTAGTGGCTTTAGTGGCACAGAAGGGACAGGTCCTTCATTTCTCTACCACTGGTTCCTGCACCAACTTCATGCTGCCCACAGCTCAGACTGAGTTCCCATTTTTTCAGAGGCCTTTTCCGATTCCACTTCACAAGTGTGTGTACATACACACTCACACATGCTCACACTCACACACATGCTTCACACATATAGCCACACATATACATATAGCTATAATAGTCACACATACACATGCATGCACTTAAAACTGCCTTCTCTAGGTCCTTTTTCTCTGTCTCTGTTGCACTTAGCCACAGCTTGCAACCATGTATTCACTTGCTTATTTGTGTTCAATAAATGTTATTTATTGAATTAATACCTTTTTTTTTTTTTTTGGCAGTACTGGGGTTTGGAACTCAGGGTTTTTCACTTGCAGGGCAGGCACCTCTATCACTTGAGCCACGTCTTCACCCACCAATACCCATTTTTAAACAGAAAGTTCCTCATTGAATATCCTTTCTGCATGTTTTTCAGTAAATGAAATAGAAAGGTCAATTTTAAGAAAAAATGACATATTCCTAAAATATACTCAAGTAAACACTTCTCAATAAAATCTATGTTCAGATCATAATGCAACCCCCTCTTGGGATTATGTATTATGTTTCAATGCAATTTTCCACTGCCTTTAAAGTTAGAATTATTTTTTTGAAGGCTTGATTTCTAGTAAAAGCCAGAAGCAGTGAAATTTCTTTGACTAGTGTCCAGTTTGTCAGAAGTAGTTGGGAAGTAAAAATTTCAGGTTTCTTCACCCAGGTTAGCATAGTTGTCATCCTTCCTCTAATGAGTTAAAGGAAAAAAATGCATTCAGTCCTGACACTGCAAGGAGCAAGACCTCATTTGTCTTTGAGTCAGAACACAACTCTGCTATTCTAGGTAATCACCCAGAGCCCAGCGTTAGCAAGGTGGTCATCTGTCCCATAGGGCAGGCCTCAGCTGGCAGCCCAGGACAGTCGAGCCTAGCCACTGCCCTCAGTTTCCTGCTCCCTTCTGTTTGTAACTCCTCTTCTGTTTCTTCCCCAGCCCAGCGACTTCTCGGTGTCTCTCAAAGCATCAGGGAAGAACAAGCATTTCAAGGTGCAGCTCGTGGACAATGTCTACTGCATTGGGCAGCGGCGATTCCACAGCATGGACGAGCTGGTGGAACACTACAAGAAGGCACCCATCTTCACCAGCGAGCACGGGGAAAAGCTCTACCTCGTCCGAGCCCTGCAGTGACAATGGCGTGTGGCCTCCTGAGCCCCACCAGCTCCAGGCCTGCTCTCCCACAGAGGGCCTGCAGCCAGCCACCCTGGCTTGGCTTCACAGCCTGGTCGTTCTGTTCAGCTCGGTTCTTTTCCCATCCACCACCCCACATCTCGCAGCCCTGTCCACACCTCCTAGACACTTTTAGAGAGGGGGTGGTGGAGGGGGCGAGCCTGTTCGCTTTTTTCCTTTTCAATTGGAAATAGTATTCATCTTCTCAGAGCCCCTCACTAAAAGACTTGGGGTGCAGCCAGAGGCCGTGAAGCTGCACTTAGTGAGCAAGTAAACCTCCACATGCCAGCGTGGGGTTCCCCTGTGGACCATGCAGCAGGTGCAGGCCAGCCAGCAGTCCTGGGCCCAGCCTGGGCCCCTGTGTGGCTCCCAGGCCCTGCAGGGAGGCAGTGCTTGCAGAGAGCAATACTGGAACCACCGGAGAGATGGCAGTGAAGAAGCTGTCCAGTGCCTTTGAGGCGGCGCTTGCAATAAAGAGGATTTTCATGAGTCAGTCTGCAGAAGAGGAGCTGGTGACGCAGAAAGACAGATGTTTCAATTATTGACCCCACACGTGCCATCCACATAGTGCTTTTTCCTCTCGCCCTTTGGCTTGTTTGAATTTCACAATTATATATTTAATTCTCAAAGTAATACGTATCTGTAGCCGTTTGTTGACACTAATAACAGATGATTAAGGGAAACAGCTGATCTTTGGGGAAGGGGAGCTACCAATACTTTATACACATACACTATATATATATATATATATATATATATATATATATATATATATATATTATTTGCTTTACAGGGAACTTTTTCAGGGTTTACAAAAGAATATGTGACTGGTAGTAAGAGACACAGAATGTTTATGAAGAAATTGCATTTTCTTTTTTCTTTACATTTGAACTTCTTTATAGTTTGAATATACAGTCTTGAGATGGCACATTCCTACAATTGAAGAAGGGGTCTTGCGATCCCCTAAACTTGCATACCTGGTTTTTTGGATATTGTAATAAAAAAAAGTATTATGACAAGACTGTGAGTGTTTGTCTTTGGGTACACTTTACTTGTTAGGGGAAGAATATCTGCAACACTCACCACACAGAGCCGGAGGGGATTGGTTTTAGAGAAGAGTTTAGCAGTTCATTATTTGTGTGTTTTCTTTTTCTACCACCACACTTTTATACTGAAACATTTGAAATAAAGAGCCTTAGCTAGCGAAGGTTCCAGGAGAACCAAGAATGTCGAATTTGATCTTTACTCTTTGGAAATTCTTGGTTAGAAAAAAATAAACTTTAGCTAGGAGCACACCTGTAAAGCACACACTTAGGAGACTGAGGCAGGAAGATCTCAAGTTTGAGGCCAGCTTGTCACTACATAGTGACACCCTGTCTCAAAAATAAATGTATTTTTATTTTACTTAACTAGTGCTTACACTCAGTGGCCATATCCAGAGAGCTGTCCTAATTATCTCAGTCAGGAAGCATTTATTGTTCAATAAACCACGATGTGCCAGGCATGGCTATATACTCACATAACACAGGCTCTGTCTCTCAAGAGCCTGTTCAGCTCCTGGGTATAGAGGCATGGTGTCATTTTTCACTCATCACAGCCCTGTGAGGTGGCTCCTACTGACAACCCCATTTTGTAGGTGGAGACAGAGACTGCAAGTCAGTTTACACGGCATGTGGCTGCTGCTCAGATGAGCAGGGAAGCTGACCCAGGACTCCACTCCAGGACTGTGCCCTACCAACCCCAGCCTAGGAAGGAAGTCAGGAGAAATGAGGCATTTCCTGGAAGTTTACTTCCTCTGCCATTCATTCCTGCTTCCTATGAGTTTGTCATATCCTTTTTTGTGCCTTAGATTATAATCAATTAGAAGTTGGGTATCTGGTTCCCGAACTGGGTGGGACCCAGTCATGGTGAGTAAACGTTCAGGTGAGTGCAGCACATGTTTCTTCTCTACCTTGCCTATGGAAAGACAGTGATTCTTGTAGATGGTCAGATCTCACTGCTGTGTATTTGACCTTCTGCTGGAGTCCCTCTAAATAGTGAGTTTTTTAAAAGAGTAGAAGAAACAATAGACAAAAGACAGGTATACATTTTGGCTTTGGGAACTTCTTTAAGGCTCATGGTATTTGCTGACAACTACTTTCAGTCTTGCCTGGTGAGGATCCTCTAGCTACACAAGGTAAGGCAGGAATGGCAATTATTAAATTAAGGAGCCAGACCCTAGGATAACTTTGTAGCAGGTATACTAGCAGAGGGCAGATTGATAGTCCACATGGTTTGGAAGCTCTAGAGAGAAGAAGGCCAAAGCAAGATCCCCTCATGTTTGGAGTGTAGGCCACTGAAACTGGCCAGGTGACATTGGTGCCATCAGCCTCCCTGCATGTCCAGATGTTTCCTGAACAAATCTTGTTGTCCACTGCCTGCCTGGATAGCAAAGGACAGTGCAGGTTAGTCATTCTGTAGATGGGTCACTTTGCTCACTTGTTTGTATTTAAGTGTGTGTGTTCATTTTGTGTGAGCATCATGCTATGTTACAGTGTGGAATGTAGCCACCAAGCCCTTCACATATGGCTTATGGCCAAATGCAATGAAGTGATGTTTCTAGGAAGCTGACTGGTACCCAATGAAATGCTGACATTTCCAAACGAACATTTACAAGGGGTCCTGTGTCTATAAAGCAGAACACTGCCATCAAGGAGTCAGACAAAAGAGAAAACATTCTCGATTTTGCAGAAACATGATCTATACTTTTTTTTGAAATAAGAAACTTCAGTTTAGCTGTGTTTCAATTCTTGTGCCTTCAATATAGTTATTTCTGTGGTTCTCAACAAATTATCCAACTTAAATAGCTTTTAGAATGTCCCAGTATTTAGCATTTAATGACAGTTACACATTCTGTGACCAACGTATGTATACAAGTTAAGACGGCACATTATTGGATGGTATAATCTTAAGAGTATGTCTGAGTACGTCATCTGTTGCCTAAAATGTCATGTGTCACATGACACTTCCCTATAAACAAGAGTTTAGTTTTGGCCTTTTTCACTAGATACGGCTTTATTTTATTATGAGATTGTGTAATTGACGTTATTGAACCAGGTCTGTTTTGCCTGCCCCAGGGTGTGCTAGTCACAGAAACAACAGTAAGTTTCACAGGAGTATTGATAAGGCAGTCAAGCCTATGGTGACAGGAAGAGGAGTTCTTGTCTCCACCTTCCCTGGGATAGGGCTTGGGGATATAAATACATAAATAAGGCTGAGGCCTGGCAAAGATGATCAGATCGAACTGCTGTTACCATCATGGCTCACACGCAGAGGTGTTAGCTATCGCCAACTAAAATCTGGTGACTAAAATCTGGTGACTTCTAGAGAGTTTACTGAGGAATTAAGAGCAGGTGACTTGTTAGAATTGGACCTTGAATGTTCCCCAAAAGCCCGTGACACTATTGGGAGGTAGTGAAACCCAGAGGTGGGACCTAGCAGAAACAAGTTGTGTTTTGAAGGAGATAGACCCCTGCCCCTTCCTCTGCTCAACTGCATGAGATAAACAGGCCTCCTCTACCACACACTCCCCGCCATGATATATGGACTGCCTAACCACAAGCTCACAGCAACAGGGCCTCAAGCAACCATGGACTGCTCTGAACGCATGAGCCAAAATAAACCTTTCCTCCCAAAGTTGATTATCTCAGATATTTTGTCACAGCGATAGTGACCAGATGGTTTAATCAGGTTTTTCCCTCATAGTAGTGAATATGGTTATTTCAGCTCTAACACATTGGGAGCTGCTAGCTGCTGTCCTGTGGTGTGACACTGATTCATCTACATAAGAGCACCTGCTCAGAGCCATGCAGGATGACAGTGCCAGCTTGTCCTTATCAACCCAGTGACTCAGCTTCTCTGTGTTTGCTCACAAGAAACATAGGGGTGCTTGTCCCTATCTTATGTACCTGCAAAGTAAGCATCATGGGAACAATGTTAAGGTCTGCCACCAGCTGCCCCTGGGCCCCATTTTTCATGTCTTTCTGCTCTGTTTTTGCTCCTGATTCTCATTGTAAACCTGGCTATAACCATGTCACTGCCTGAATGTTGGGCTGCCTTGAAATCTCCACCAGATTAGTCTATCACCTTTAGACTCAGCCTTCCACAAAGTCTTAAGGCATGGACAAAATGTACACAGGTTCTTTGCCCGAGTGTACCAGTAGAGCCCTTGTTCCCATCTGAAACCATGAGCACAGTCTCTATTGTCTACATTCCTATCAGTATTCTGGCCTTCTGAGCTCCCACCAGAATTGCCCATCAAGCTTACAACATTCTAGGGCTTCTCTAACCAGTATCTCCAGAGTCTTCCAAATTCTTCCCAAAAACTAGTTCCAAAGGCTTCTGAATCACATGGTCAGGTAGTCACAGCAATGACCTCATTCCTCTGTAACTAATTTTCTGTGTGTGGTTTGTAATTGCTCTGACCAAATACCTGACAAACAACTGAAGAAGGATTCATTGTGGCCCATGATTTCAAAGGTTTCAGCCCACAATCCTTGCCTGCATTGACTGGGCCCATGGTGAGGCAGAACATCATGACAGCGGAGCATGTGGCAAAGGATACTCGCCTTATGGCGGACAGAAAGCAGGGGATAAGAAGAACTAGGGAAAAATATGCCCTTCAAAGGCACACTCCCAGTGACCTACTTCTTCCAATTAGACCCCATCTTCCACAGTTTCTACCACCTCTCAGTATTCTACTTAGATTTTGAATCTGTCAATGAATTAAACTATTCATTAGGTCAGAACCCTCATTATCTAATCATCCTGGAAATACCCTCACAGACATCCGAATGTGGGCTCTGCAATTCTAGATATTTCTAAATCCAATCAAGTTGACCATCACAGGGCTGGGGATGTGGCCTGAGTTCAGTCTAGAATTCAAGGGTGGCACGAGGTTAAGCCAGGGTAGCTCCAGCTAGCGTGCTTCACATGAAGCCCTTCAAAACAATATTGCTGCTAGTCACCCCACATGTCAATGCTCTCGTCATTTTGTCATTTTTCCTCACTTGGACCTTTTCTGTGTCAGTCTTCTCTTGTCTTCCTCAGGACCACACTGAAGAGCTGGCTTCATTTGCCCACAGTGTGATCCTCATCCATCAATCTCTAAGCGTGCATCTGCTTTTAGAGCTTACTGTTTGGGACTTGAAGAAGAGTTTTCCCAACAAACTCCTGGAATGCATTTCCTTAGATACTCAGGACCACAAACATGCTCAGCCAATCACAGCTGTTCCTCACTAGAGGCGGTTAACAAATTTACATTCCAAAACTGATCCTCTTGGAGCATCTGTTTTTATCATGGGGGAATTTCAGCCTGAGTCTAACAAAACAAGGGTTTATTAAGGATTGGACAAAAGTTGAGGTCACTAACCAGAAATGCTGGCCCCCTCACTGAATGGAATCCTTGCTGCTCCAAGAAGCTGGCATTGCTGTTCTGAGGGCTATTCCCTTAGAACAGAGGATTTACAGTTCTACCACAGAAGGTTTGTGCTTTCATGCAGAGTTCTTTTACCACTCAGATTCCAAATGAGAAGCAGGAAGGAGACAGTCATTGTGCTTTTTTGGTTTTGGTTTTATTTTAGGTGCTTGTGAACCCAGGGTCTTGCACATACTCTTCCAGTGGGCTACACACTCAACCCTGTCCCTTTTGGTGCTAGGGATTAAACACAAGGCCTTGTGCATACCTAAGCACATGATATACCTCTGAGCTACTTCCCCCCACAAACCCTTCATCTGCATTTTAACATGTTCCCAGGAGATGCCAGTGTAGGTGGTGGGAGCCTACACTTTGGGTGCTGTTCTAGTCTACTTGAAACTTTCCTGTTCCCACTCCCTTGCACACACACATACACACACACCACTCTCAGCATACACCTTCTAAAGTACATCCTTCCAACCATAGACGGGCCTGGTGGTGAACGAGTAGTCTTTTTTTATTCCACATCCCTTATCTGCCCCACTCTCCAAAGTACTTCCCACA